TTGCTGTACGACCATATGAATAGTGTTTGCTAGTGTCCTGTAGAAACAACTTTTATCGATTCTCGTTTCTGCATTCTTGTTCTCGTAATGCTTTCAGAATTCCTATTACGATCAAGACTGTCATCTCCTCAAGTTAGAAAAGTGAAAACAAAACCAATCAGGAACTTTAAAAAAAATGCACTAAAATGATGAAATGGATATAAAAATTGATGTACTGAAAATTCATTGATTATAATAAACATTTTCATCAATTTAATATCATGATTTTCATAAAAAATGATTTTCATTACATTTTCTTGATTGAAATGTTGATTTTAATAAATGAAATTGAAATACATTAATTTTTATGTCCATCCCATGTGTTCAATTACGATTAAACTGCAACGTAGTTACGGAGTAACTGTGATCGCAGCTGTTAGAAAAGAGATGACATGAAATAAGATTTATATTTGATTAATATTTTTGTTAATAATTATTCTTAATCTTTAATATTTCCAATAAAACTTGACTAAGGAATATTTATAAGTGAGGAATCTGAATCTGACGTCAGGTTTTTATTTTAATATTTTTATTATGAATTATTCATAATTCATGATAAAATTATCAATAATTCATAATAAAAATATTAATAAAATGAAAATCTGATCTCAAATTGGAATTCGTGACCCTCGACAACCTTCTAGCCTCTGTTTTGATTCCAAAAAAATGCATTCAGACTGTATATTCTATCCGTTGTAGCAGAAGGAAATATGAACCACATTCTCACGAAGACTTCCTTTTATGCAGTCACTCTGTGACTAAGTTTTGACGCTAGAGTGTGACCAATTACAAGTAAGATAGAGCTGTTTATGATTCGTTGGTATCAGATACATTGGATCGTTCGATGCGAGTAATGCGGTACACTTTCGTTTATCTGCGTTGCAGTAATCGTAGTCATTCCAGCATTTTTCATTACGATCGATGCGTCGTACTGACACGCAACTGCGACACAGTTGTTAACAAAGAGGTGACATGGAATTTTATTATCCGAAATGTCATTTCTTTCGTGTTTTTGATATAAAATTTATAAAAGTCCTGAAATTTTTAAAATTTTTATTTCATGGACAGTAAAAAATGAAAACAATGCAGAAAGCTCTCTTTTTGTGGACTTTTCGTATTTCTATGAGTTTCAATAACTTGTTGCTTCTTTTCACGGTACTTCATTATCTTCAAAGTTCAAAAATATAATAAATAATGCACAAAAAAGATGGATATTTTATTAAGCACATCATTTTTTTGAAAGTAGTTACATTTACTGTTTGACTGGTTTTTGGATTGGTAAGTCTTTTTCAGACAACAGATGTTTGCGCGATAATGAAGTATTTCAACGAATTTATGTTTCTACGCTTATTGAATATACTGACATTCAATTGCAAAAATGAATTGAATAAATGTCTCATTTTCGAAAAAAAATACTTTTGACATTGGCGTTGTTTGCTGGAATAGAGCACAGAATGCAACATACAGGCAATAATAAATTGTACACGACAGTTATCATGACTTACTTAGTATTAACGGATTTCTCAAAGTCTTCAATGAAAAAAGTAATCCAAAATTTCTCATTTGCTGTCTGATTTCGAACCAGACTTAATTTCGGCAGTGAAAACAGAAGTTTGTATATCGTGTTTCAATTAAGAAAACTTACTTTTTTATCAATTTGTTTATTTTCAGTTTCCATCATCTAGACATAAATGTTATCCTTTTCATTTTTCTCAGGCAATCTATAGACAATTACAGGGTTTGGAGCTACAATAACATTCTTTATCTGATGAAAATTTTCGTCTTTTATGTCATAAGATGGTGGCATTGGGATTAATGCTATTTGACAAGGTGGCAAGCAGTTTTGAAGATGTAAGAAGTGCTGCTCAATGTTTACCACGATCGCAGATTTTAGAAATTACTACAATACTTTGAAACGAACTGGATATCAAATATTGAACTGTGGAATCTGTTTGGATTTGATAGTCGCACCAATAACACTTGTGAAGGTTGGTAAATATAATGTACCAACCAAATGACATTTTTTTCTTTTTATAATTTAAGGCTGTCATAATCGAATAAATAGTTGTTTGCAAAGAAACCATTCAAATATTTGGCAACTTACTAACTTTATGACAGTAGAAGAAAAATGGGTGCAAAATATACGTCTTCAATGGTCTTCTGGCGCATTAAATAAAAAAATAAACGCACTGCAGCATTACAAAATCGAATAGATGCTTTGTATCATCGATATAATAATTATTTACTAAGTGCATCTGATCTTCTTACTGGTCTGTCTTTCATCGTGGCGAAAAAGAAATGATGCGTCAAAAATTTTAGTTAACTTTTTCAATTGACTTATCGAGAATTTTTTGCTTGTCTTTCATCAATTTCTTATTTAATAATAAAATTCATTTACATTAAACTGTTAATTATTTTATATACCCAGTAAAATAATCTAAATGTGTTTTGATATTTTTTGTCCTCCAATATTTTTACTTGCGATATTTTTATAGTTCGACATTTGTATCTTTTATTTTTTTCCACATTATTCCTTTCGACACTTTTACTTTCCACCAAAGTTCAGATTACCGGTAGGTATAAGTAGGGTAGATAGATAGATATGTAGGTAGCATAGATAGGTAGGTAGGGTAGATAGGCAGGGATGATTCTTAACTAAAGTAGTTATCTTCTACTGATGAGAAAAAAATCGACGATTTTGTATGACATGAACCCGTTGATACTCTAGTCTGCTGTTCAATGGTTGGGACGATTAATATCGTGTTCAGTGATCTCATTCCGCGATACCAAGAATTAGAGATCATATTTTGTAGTTGTTAATGATGAGGACAATGTTGGACTTGGCAGGAAGCCAATATGGCAAAAGAGAGTATCCACGACGAATTCTGAGTCAACGAGAAAAAGAGAACAGAATACAAAAGAGAGATTTTTTGATACATTTTCTTTTGTCAGGAAAGAGAAGAGGACGTAACAGGTAGCGCTAGGATTGTTTACGTTAATCGTATGAAAAATACAACGCGATAAGACGGAGAGAAAATCTTGTAACCTACAGCTTAGACAGTTTGATTTTTTTCTATCTTGTCTTTTTCTTCTGTGCTTCTAACGTTGTGTAATTCCGACGAATAGATCGATGAGTCAATATGAAGTGTTCACAAGACTAAACTAGTATGTTTTTTTCAGATTCATAAGTTGTGAGATGTCGTCCTTTGCTTGATATTTTGGATCAGGAGACAAAAAAAAAATATCGGATAATCTATGCTCTGCAGCGTCTGAGAAGGACTGTTTATTGCATAATCTTAATCGACCGTGTGAAACAATACCACAATTATCTACATCCGCTGAAGTATCATCAACATCTCGCATTGAAACTCATTCTACTATTCAATCAATACAAGAAGAAACAGCTACTTCAAACGACAATCATTCATTGGAAAAAGGCCGTAATTGAAAAGCATGAGTACGCCATTTTTTGGTGTTTTGTAATTTATGAGAACGTGCTTGATTTTTTTTCATATTTATCGAATACTGCTGCGCTTAACCTTAAATGATATATTTTGATACTTTTGAACATTGTATTTATCGAAGAGATTTTCATTGGTAGATGAAACTTGTCCTATTGACGATATACGAGTAATGGGTTACAGACTTTTAATTTATTGGTTAATACTTCTGTTCAATATATCGAGATTGGAATGATATTTCTTGAAGATGTGGATGAGGGTGAATATGAGATTATCCACATTCACACTCTCACCCTCACACCTACACCCTGTGATAAGGGAAAATTTGACAAGATCTTTTATCGATCCTCAAAGAGCTTTGCGATAGTCAAGATTATATTTTATTTTTATTATGCTCTGCTCTCTTTAAATACACTTATGGTAATAAAAATTGTTCGTAAATATATGAGAAATAGACAGGAGCATGATACCACAGCATCATCTCTTGTCGAAGAACAAAAGTAGATAAATAATTTGGTCAGAAAATAAAATCTTAGAGTCTACATCTCATACGGAAGACATTCGAAATCACAGACGACGTCATTGACATTGTTGTGAAGATAATAAAACAGAAACAAAAAACTTCCATCTTTTCTACACTGAATGAAAGAAAAAAAAACTAACTATTAATCTGATGATTTATTATGTGCCATAAAGGTGAAGTAATATAGTCAAATACTTCAGATACTGAAGCCTATTTTACTAGAATTATTTTACCTTTTTAATTCATTATTGTTAATACTTTTTTGTTTCTTGTTCATTTTCTTCTGTAAAATAGTAACCGTGTATTTGTCTTGCACTTCAAGGTAAAAGTCGTTTAATAAGAAATCAAATAAAATTCATCATTTTCTAATTCCTGCATGGTATAAAAGAGGCTTATAAACAACACCTCGTTATCGGAAAGGTACAAATCATAGTCAAGGAGTCGTGATAATGACAGGAAAACATCTATGTATAACAAGAATTGACACAGAAAAAGGGAATACAGTGACTGTGGATGTTCAGGGTCTTTCGTTACTAGTATGAATTACTCCTAGGAGATATTTTAATGAAAGTTCGGCGAAAAGAATATAAGTTAAAGACTCGGCTATTATATTTGATAAATAGATGGCGATTACTAACGTCATTTAAGAGCCGTGAAAATGGGGGCGTGGAGGAGTGTACATCCTCTCCACTCACTAACAATTGAAAATTAGTTGCCATTCTTCAGTAAAATCAGCAAGATTTTTTGAATTTTCACTACTCTTGTGAGACACTTTCTTATACATCTCCTCCCCCTCAATTTTGGGACTCTCGTGCGGGCTCTACATACATTATCATTGACAGTCGAGTTTATGAGCTATACATGTTCTAATTTTGTGTGACAAAAATAAGTAACTTGGGAGCGATTCACTTCTCTAGACTATAATGGTTAAATTAGCGACGAATTGGTCCTTCATTTTGTTGGTGTATGTTTTTCAAATGACCTTTACTACAGCAAATTATCGTGCTAATTCTAAATTGGCAAGAACTAATAATGACGATTTACAAACTTGTCTTTCATCGGCATTGCCATTATCAATACGTACTATTTATCCATGTAGCACTTTAGCAAATCAAAATAGTTCTCAATATCAATGTGATCATTTCAATGTTAATGGACTGTCGAGTGTTCGTGGAGGTCGAATTTCTCATTTTCCTGCTGTTATTGTTTATGCAACGGACAGTAACGATATACAAAACGTCGTAAAATGTGCAACGAAATTAAATTACATTGTCAATGCAAGAAGTGGAGGTCATAGTTATGAAGGCTATAGTTTAGGTTCAATGTACAACAATATTGTTATTAACATGGAAGCAATTAATTACATTCGTATTAATCAATATGATGGAACTGGTACATTTGGAGCTGGTGCAAGAATTGGTCCAATCTATTATACAACATATCAATATAATTATACAATTAATGCTGGCAGTTGTGCATGGATGGGACTTGCTGGTCATGCACTTGGTGGTGGTCTAGGTTTTCTTGGTCGATTACATGGATTATTATCCGATAATATTTTGGAAATGAAAGCTGTTAATGCTCAAGGTAAATATATTTTACTCACATTGTCTTTCTTGAATAGAAACGTTTTTTTCGAAACACAGAATGCATATCATTCGTTGCAGATTTTCGTATGGATCTTGAATATTACGTTGGCTTTATATAAAAAGATTTTTCAACGTTTAAAAATCAGATATCTTATCTTAGATTCCTATTCTTGAGGATTAAAGCGACAGTTTTCTGACTTCTCAGAAAAACGGTACTTTGAGTACCTATAAGTGTAGATTTGTTAATTGTCATTGACAAATGTACATCAAATATTTCTTATAGGTGAATTAATAACAAAAATAAAACTCATGAACCCGAATTATATTGGGCATTACGTGGTTCTGGTGGAGGTTTGTTTGTTATTGTCACAGAATTTAAAATTCGATTAGTTAAAGCTCCGCCACTCGCTAGGCGTTTTTCATCTATATGGTATCCGATTGCAACAAAATTAGTAATGCAACGATATCAATCATTGTTATTTGATGACAAAATATCGAATTTTAGTAATAATTTAGTTTTAGCAATGGGTGTGTCGAAGACTCATGTAGAAATTTCAATACTTTATTTCGGTATTGAATTTGACGAATTTAATAAAACTATATCGTTACTGTTGACAACGTTACCAACTCCAAATAGAACTGATTTGTATGAACAAGATTGGTTAACTTTTGTTTATAAATCATCAGGAATTGATGATGATAGTGGCGATAAGCAACAGTTGTTACTTGATGGTTTACATATCCAACATATCATTTTAAAGCCAAACATTTATTTTATGATGGACCAATAAGTAGTCATAGTCTTGATAAATTTATCGATCGATTAGCATCAGGCGATGGTCAAATTAATATGGGATTTAATTCTTGGGATGGATATTTAAGTACAATTCCAGCTGATGAAACAGCATTTCCACATAGACATTTTAAATTTGATATTCAGTTCACAGTTTATCCTAATGATGAGCAACATGAACAACAATAAATGAATTGGTTAAATCAAGTATATTTGGCTGTCTACAATGATTCAACAAAATATTCATATGTTAATTACATTGATAGAGATGTACCGAATTGGATGAATGTTTATTATCACACACATCAACAGCGATTAATTAATATTCAACATATGTATGATAAGAATAATCGATTTTATTTTGAAAAAACAATAGAAGAATCAAACAGGGGAAATCAACACATATTTTTGAACTTTTATCTTGCAAGTTTTGTAGTTGTTGTATTTTTCATCGTGTAATTCTTTCTTTATTCATGGATTGATCGTGTCTTATTGAATTCAACATTATGAGTAGAACATTGTTATTTCGAAGTTAAAGGTTTTTATCTAGTGACAGTGAGACATTCGTTTTTGTATTTTTCTGAAGGTAAAATAGACACGACGGAAATTAGTAAAAGTGGAATATATGAAATGTAATAACCAATAAGAAATAATCATGATTCACGAGCTGGTTCCATACATCGAGATAAAAATGAGGTTATCAAACGAGAAACAGCTAATAAAATACATGGTAAAATAAGATGCGTAACATTTCCTGTTCATTTTATATATAACATCTTTTATCTATTATCGGCACTCATTGTGTGATTGACACACAGCACTGTTTGTTTCACTTCTTTTCATTCTCAGAGACTGTTTATACATTGAACGTTATCCTTCCTTTGTTATCACTTCTCTTTCCTTCTTTCTACAACACAGTCGTATCTTTAATTATTGTGTATCGTCTCTCCTCATGTTTAGACTTTAGTTTCGTTTTCGATTATTTTATCACTCTTTATTTGCTTTCTACATTTGTGACTGGAACTATCTTGTGTATGATCTTTTACTATTTTTCATGTATTCGCTCTCTTCTATTGATTCTATATGATGTACTTTTTCTTTTTTGTGTTTTTACTGAGCAGCAATCAGATCCAGTATAATACAGCTTATAACAAAAGAAAAATATCTACTATTCATGTTGATGTTGAGATTAATCTAAATAAACGAAAAAAAAACAAACTTTTATAAAAAAAAAAAAAACTTACTGTTGAAGCTTGTTGTAAAATCACCGATTAATCGGCATTTATCAGAATATCTGAAAATTTTCTGATCAATCACGATTAATTGTCAAAAGTGAGTCGATTTTGATGGCATGGGTACCCTCATATACAGTATTTCGTGTTAACAGATCCTCTCCCACTGAAATTTTCCGAACGTGAACATCAAAATTTTTTCAATTGTGTGTTTTATATTGATACATATTCTTTGAAATGTCCTCTATCGATTTGCAAAAATAAATTTCTTTTCACAATGTTTTGACTTCGAAAAAAACATAGTTTTCGAGACTCAACATCTTGAACTGAATTTTTTATTCGATGTTTTTCAAAATACTTAGTCTTTGTGTTTAATCTGCTTGTATTTAACTGATTTTTAGCCTAATATTAGATTGGAGCTGCATATTGAGACACCGTTCGTTTTAGTTCGAGATATAATTCATATGACTCAGCTGAAAATGATACTGTGTGTCTTTAATTTGTTCGACAGTTTTTTACCTCTTGTTCTCTCTCTGTTCACAATAAGCATGAAAACAGGAGATCATGTTTAATTGCTATGCTGTTTTTCTCTGACTACAAGCATGTTGCCAATATAAAAAGAAAATACTTTCCAAATATAAAAAAAAAAACGTCATCAAAAATGCAGTAGTCGAAAATTTGTAAAAACTTCTATAGAAAGGAAAAAACAATCAGTGTTTTAGAGAAAATCGAAACCCTATTTTTTTGGCTCTTGTTGTTTTCAAGAAAAAAAATTGCAGTTTCGCCTCCATTTCACCAGTATGGTAAGAGATATCGAACTGAAACTTTTTTTTTTAACCTATACTAGATACGATATCGCGTGGGTACTTTTTTTGTTAACAAATATTGCTCTGATGATTTTTGGCAGCGTTTATTAAATTTACCCCTGTGAAAAAAACAAGTGTTTTTTATTGAAAGTATGTCCGGTATTTTAGCTTTTTTATTCAAAGGAAAGACGATAAAAGGAGCAAAAAGTAGGGTAATTTTGGTCTCAATATTTCACAGAAGACAGTTTCTGTGAATTTTGAGTCTTTGAATAATTTTGTTCAACTCATCAAGATTTATCTGTCTTGAAAGCTGCAAAACTTTCTGATGAACTATTCTCCGAAAATCCATAAAAGCGAACGGAGAATAGCCTTAAAGTAGAAACAATAGGAAGAGTTGTAGAAAAATTATTTATTTATGACGAGTAGAAATTCTAAAATAAATTCTGATGAATCAAAATTTCATTAAAGTCTTCAAATCTGGTAGCGAAAGTTTAAAAACTTTTTTTTATTACAATTATTGTTTTCTATCGCAAAAAAATGATTCACTGTCTTCATGGGTTTATAAAAAAAAGTGCAAATAAGAAAATATATTAATTAGTTAACTGTTTAAAGAAGAAAAAAAACAGACTATGGTCCAACTATATTGGACGGGCTGCCTGTCGCTGTCTATTCACAAGCGCTATCCCACGACTATTTGACATGAGGTTTTTGACTTGCTCGCATATTCGCGCCTCAGCCGGTTCAACCTTCCTTAGACGCCCTGGAAGGAGAGATTCCTCAACTCCCACCATGTCGATGCCGAACTTCGTGCGGACGTTCGATCAACATAGAGCAACGACAAACAGGACTCCCGCCCGCAAGTCATTCACACAGCCCAACCCCAGAAGTAGCTCCGGTTACAGAAAGACGCCGCGCTTTCCAGTCGATCATGAATGACATGAACAAACTATCTATAGTGAAATAAATTGAACTGATGAAATAACATCCAAAATAGTAAACTATGGAAAATATCCTATCGATAGAGATAGACATCTATTGAATAGTAATGATTAAATCAGATAAAATATCCATCAGTCATTGTTAATGATGTTTGTCATAAAGTCTTTGATGCATAAGAATAATTTCAAAGAAAAGCAATTGCAGATTGCTCGTTAAATAAGAATAAATTGTCCGAAAAATAATGTGGGGGGTCGTTTCGTTTGACGTGTCTATTAATATAAAAGAAATAACATTCTTTTTTTTTCAGACTCTTGTCGATATTTATTCTGATATGTTACTTAACCCAATTGTAACTAATGCTATGTTTTGTTCTTTCTGTCCTTTCGTGCGTTTTTTTTTGGATATTTATCGAGTGACAGAAAGGAATAAGCGACGATGGAGAAGAACAAAAAAAAAACCTGTATTTATATATTAAGGGTAGAGATGAATATGTCTCTGTTAATATATGTATATATATATATACATATTAGACAACTTCATTTTTATTCCTATATGCCTTTGGTTTCTTTACCCGCCACTTTGGCCCAGTGTATTTATATACAATCAGATTCTTTTGAAATGTAGTAAACAGATTATTGATTCTTCGAGAGATAATATTCGTTCGTATATATGTTTCTATGGTGCTGTTTAATCTAAGCAAATAATTGTATAAGTGTTGTATTTTGTTATTGTTTTTTTTAGTATGAAAGCATCATGTAAGTTAATATAAATCGATTATACACTGATATAATGGGATGGCGCAATGTGACCGCGATGAATAGTACTGCAAATGATTATTCACATTTAAAATGGCCATTAACATTTGCTAGTATATTAACAACATTTTTAGCTTTTATTCTTCTTTTAAGTTTTCGTTCTGATTCATGGTTTACATATGAATTAATTCAAATTGGTAATAAATCAACAATATCAAATACAACAAGATATTCTCGATTACTTGAATATGGTTCAATAGGTTTATGGACAATATGTAATGGTCATTATGATGATTCCGATCTTAAATGTGATTTATGGACAAAAGAAAATCGACCTCATTCCCTTAATATTATTATAGAATTAGTTTCATTTGCATTATTTCTTTCAAATTTAACAGTTTTTCCATCATGGGGTTCATCAATACTTATATATTATAATTCAAATAATCGTTATATGCGACCTATTTATGGTTTTATTGGGATTCTATTGATTCTAACATTTTCATTTACAGTGATTCTTTTGGTTACAATATTATATACAGTATCAACACCTTTTTATGCTCCAGGACAATTTGTTCATGACACAGGTCATCTTTTTTTTCAATATGGTCTTGGTTTAATTTATGTTGGTTTTGGTAAGTCATTGATTGTTTTTTTTTAATTATGTAAATAATTATATTTATTAATTGTTTTAGCAAGTTTTTTGGCTATTATATGTTTGATATTAGTAACTCTAACACTAATATGGAAAAAAATGATTGAAATGAAATTAAAACAAGCTGATAAAGATTTTTTACAACAATTGTCTAATGATGGGTATCAACCAGGTTGGCATAAAATGGTTATTGCACCACGTACACCTCCAACAAATGATTCAAGTGGTCAACCACCACCACCATATGAATATTAACATGAGAATTAATCGTACAAAAATTTATTTTATTTTTTTCTTTTTAAACAGAAAAAAGAAATATTCTCTTTATTTATCTTGGTGATTTGTGTGCTCATTTTAATAATTATAATAAATATATATATATATGTATAAATATATTAAATAAATTCTTTAATCAATAATAATTTAAAACAAAATTCTTCTTATAAATTCTTCATAGAGACAATAGTTTGATGCCTTCATGAAAAAAAATTCAAGATTACTTTTTGTAGAAATTTAACAAAATATTTTTGGACTTTATACGATTACTAAAAATGGGTTTCTATGAGTTAAAATAATATATAATTTTGTAATTATTTTTCTCAAAAAGAATCCACAAACTTTGAAGACTTTATAATGAAGAATTTTCTTGTCAGTGAAATTTTTATCTGAAGTATAAAATCGAGTTTACTAATTTTTTTTTTTGTAACTCTTAAAATAACTATCAGATATCTTATGTTTCACTGCTATAAATAGTAAAAATGTCAGGTCATTAAGTGTTTCGATTTTTGATTTACTGCTAAAA